TGAATAAATGGATGAATGGATGGGTGGATGGATGGATGGACGGACGGACGGACTGACGGACGAATGGATGGATGGATAAATCAGACTGGACTGATTCACTGATAGATAATGAAAAGAATATAAGAGAGAATATAAAAGGAAACACGAAACGAATTAACAAAGGAGGGTAGACTAAAGCAACAAAAGAGCAAATTGGTTGCTGACCTGCTGTCTGGCACTGACAGAATCCGGGGATGTTACTTGTTACTGGGGCTTATATGTCTCGCTTCTTAGAATTTTGAATCTTAACGTAGTGTTTAGTCTCGCGCTGCCACTGATGTCATTGGGACCGTCTGAGTGTTTCTGTTTGTAAGCAGGTCGGGCGAGCCACACCACAGCTCAAGCGGTTAGTCGCTGGCTTCCCACCGCGGCGGCCCGGGTTCGATCCCAGGTCTGGTCAAGTGGGATTTGTGGTGGACAAAGTGGCTCCGGGGCAGGGTTTCTCCGAGTACTTCGGTTTCCCCTGCCAATCTTCATTCCACCAATTGCTCCACAATCACCGTCACCTATCATCTGGGGCTGGTACAACAGGCCAGAAGTGGCCGCAGTACAAGGGACTTAGTCCCAGTCCACTAGCAATAAAGAAAAAGCAGGTCGGTCTGCCTGTCTGCCCGTCCTTTCATCCCTTATTTCTCTTTACTTCCTTATGCGTTTCCAGAGATGTCTCTAAAATTAATGTTGTCCCCGTGCTTATCTACGCCATGAAGAATTATGTGGATGTATATACCCATGTTTTCTAGATGTCGGCACTAGCCGGAGGTGAGTGGTCGGAGCCCTCTGTATACATTGTACATTGGAAGAGAGGTTGGGTGGACTCCAGAGCCGGTCTGGACGCTGTAGAGAAGAGAAAATTCTTGACCCTATCAGAGAGAGTATCTGTAGGTCCATTTAATTCTCTTAGCGCTTTTCAAGTGATAAATTGTGTTCTGTCCACACGACGGTTTAACCGTGGTATAACCCGGATTGGGACAGTGAGAATGGGTGCAAAAGTTTATGTTCATGAAGTCACATACGTGTATATCCGTTTCTTAGCGGAGTTAAAACCCGGGATCCCTCTGTTTGCTTGGCCCAAGATTCTTCGTTTCGTAACCGACACCGCTACTGGAGCGATCGCTCAAGTTTTCATGTATGAATTTTCCCTAATCAACATAACAGCACTCCCTGCGAGATACAACGCTGGCAGCCTGTATCCAGTTGCGTATGCTGCCCGTTTTAGCCATCCATGTGAGTAGGTATTAGATGTTTGATCGTTCCTCGTCAAGAGACTCCTTGCAAGAGGCTGAAAGGGGCATAATAGTGTTGCTGTATATTCATGTTTGTTTATAGGAGACTACAAACAAAAACAAACTTCGTTGCTTTAGTCTGCAAGCGAACTATACCGACCGAGCGACCGTCGCTTGTCGGCGAAGTTAGTGCCAACTTTAGCGGATAGAGGGTGTCGTGTGGTCAGTGCAACGAATTCCCACGGCCGTTAATTTCGGTTTTCTAGACCGGAGCCGCTACTTTTCCTTTCAAGTAGCTCCTCAGTTATCCTCACTAGGCTGAGTGGACCCCGTTCCAGACCCACTACTCCGAAAATCTGGTAGCGCCGGGAATCGAACCTGGGATCTCTGGATCTGTAGCCAGGAACTCTGACCACTAGACCACAGAGGCAGTCTGTTTATAGGAGACTGCGCTCCGAAAACTGTATTATGCCCAAATTCTCCTTTAACATTTTTAAACGTTTACAATTAAGGTGACTCATCTCTGAGTGTACTTTCGCATTTATTTGAAATAACACAAATGATATTTCATGGAATTATTGAAAAATGTGTCGCCCTGTTTGGGCGAAAACTGTTTAGTACCGTATTAAGCCTGTGTTTCTGCAGGTTATTGTGTTTGTACTGTAAGTCTCTTGAGCGTTTTGCCCGTGTAAATACAGAATGAGACAACTGTCAGCATCACTTCGCTATTTAGATGAGATTTTTACGAATTCAGAGTCCCAGAAATATCTCGAACGACATGAAACGGTATTTTTAATTAACATAACCTTGACGACTAATATTTAGAGAGGAGGAAACAAAATATTTACATCAACTGCAGGGTTCTATTGTAAACGCATGCAGTGAAGTATAGATGTGGTCAGTTGCTTGTCAGAAAATGCTTTAAAGAGATGCTGAGTAACTTACTCATACAGCGGTAGGCGCTGTGAAATTCGTTATCTCAGTTGAGAAAATTCTTGATCCTATCGGAGAGAGTATTTGTAGGTTCATTTAATTCTCTTAACGCTTTTCAAGTGATAAATTGTGTTCTGTCCACACGACGGTTTAACTTAGTTCTGAGGCCGCGCCATAGCTCAAGCGCTTAGTCGCCGGTTTCCCAATAGCGGCGGCTCGGGTTCGATCCCGGGTCTGGTCAAGTGGGATTTGTGGTGGACAAAGTGGCGCTGGGGCGGTTTTCTCCGAGTACTTCGGTTTCCCCTGCCAATCTTCACTCCACCAATTGCTCCACAATCACCCTCACCTATCATCTGGGCCTGGTACAATAGGCCAGAAGTGGCCGCAGTACAAGGGACTTAGTCCCAACCCACTAGTAATAAAAACATACCAGGGAACGAGGGAGGCCAATGGTTAAATATGTAGTAAAATGGTGTTTGGTGCTCACTTTTTCCAGAAAGGCTGTGCACACAGCCTCGTGACGTTTCGTCCATCTTATTGAGAGAAATGCCACTGGCAGAAATAGATTACGCGAGTTTCGATTTTTGTTTTGTTTATTTGGTTTGCTTCCAAATGTGATCACATCTGAAGTCTCCCAATGCAGTTGACTCAGGCTTAAGTTACGAATCCGTTATTTATTGCATGGACGTTGGGATTTTGTATATTTCCAGTTTCTCCACGGAACTACGCGGAAAGTGAAATTGGAAAGACAGTTCTATATTATCTTTGTTTTATGCTGGTTATTTAACTTCTCTGTCATTATCCAGATACCCCTCAGTGGTCTAGTGGTCAAAGTTCCTGGCTACAGGTCCCGAGGTCCCGGTTTCGATTCCCGGTGCTACCAGGTTTTTTGAGAAGTAGAGCCTCGTCAGAATAATTGAAGAGCTGTTTCAAGGGAATAGTGGCTCCGGTCTAGAACAGCGAGATTAACGGCCGTGGGGATCCGTTGCCAACTTTAGTAGTTAGGGAGTGTCGCGTGGTCAGTGCAAAGGATCCCCACGGCCGTTAATCTCGGTTTTCTAGACCGGAGTCGTTGTTTCCTTGAAGTAGTTGCTCAATTATCATCGCGAGGCTGAGTGGACCCCTTTGCAGACCCACTACTTCTCAGAAAATCTGGTAGCGCCGGGAATCGAATCCGGGACCTCTGGATCTGTAGCCAGGAACTCTGAAGACTAGACCACAGATTCGGTCTGACGAAGAACAAACAGTATGGTAAATCTGTTTTAGATGAATGGAGTTAGACTCGTAGGGCGTTAGTTTCAACAAAGCACTGCAGACGGCAGCTCAGTCGACGAATCGTGACGGAAGGGTTGGGTTAGTGAGAAGAATCCGGAGCTAAGAGTGAGAGGGTTTATGAAAAATTACTTCTGTCTACAATATTTTGATCATATATTTTAAGGTAATGAAATTAATTAAACTTCTGCTATTCAAATTATTGAATCATCCGGTTTCTTATAGTCATCAAATACGATATATGATGTAGCTTACCTTTCCCTGGAGTGGCCTGGTTCGTCTTCTGTCATGACGTCACGATCTTCGTTCTCCCGGGTTGTATAGCATATACTTCCTTGTCACGTTTTCACTGCTGGTTGGTGCTTTGGAAATATACCCATAATCCCCCAACCATTCGTCAGATTAACCTATATTGTAGTACACACTCTTCACAATCACACTGGAGCCTTCAGAATTCTAAGTTCACTGTTTAATGTAACTTTCGTGTCTTCCTATACACACGTTGTTTTCTCACAATGGACTGCAGTCACATTTGAAACACGTGGTGTATTCTGATTGGTTGTATAGTACTCACCGTTTTCACAGTCACACTAAAGCCTTCAGAATCCCAAGTAGATATACACGTTCAGTGATTAACAGAACTTTGTTGTCTTCCTGTGCACGGTTCGTTTTGTTACAGTAAACTCCAGTCACATGGTTCAGAATCATGTGCTGTATTCTGATTGGTTCGTTAAATTAACGCATCGTTACTCGTGTGATACACGTTAATAGCGGCGCTCATCCCCCAGCGAGGTTCCTGACAAGCAATATAACGCAGTGTTAATGACAGCCATTTGTACAGCCTGTGGTTGCGGATATAGCCCTTTGTTAGGGAGATGTTTGGGCACATATTGTTGCTGACTAACAGTCCACACAGCGGTGTGTGGGTGTAGACCATGATTTATCCATGTCTGGAAAAGCCGGAACTTTCCATCTATACATTAAATTGTAAACTCATTTATCATCTGTATGAAACCTAATTGTTTCGAAATATTGAAACATCTGAATTCTGAAATTGATGCGGTCTGTGTTCCGATGACAGATGCGTACAATGAATATTTTAATATTTAATATCTTACCAACTTGCCTTCCATATCTAAGTTTCATTTAATTTGTTGTTTATTTAACGACACTGTCAGTAGCACAGACTATGTATCATGATTATTGAATGATATGGTGGAAGGGATGTGGACGCAAACGATCGTGGCCTATTTCAAGGAAAGAGGAAACCCACGGAAATACTCAGTCATGATTATCGGTGTCCCAGTCGAGGTAGGAGCTCCTCTCTAATATAAATCGAAGTGTTACCGCATTAATTAACCTGCTCGATCCCATATCTAGAAGTATCAGGAATATTTTTAATTGGTGTTTTACTAGGAATGTGCCAACACATTATCGTAACGTACNTAATTATTATCGGTGTCCCAGTCGAGGTAGGAGCTCCTCTCTAATATGAATCGAAGTGTTACCGCATTAATTAACCTGCTCGATCCCATATCTACAAGTATCAGGAATATTTTTAATTGGTGTTTTACTAGGAATCTTCCTGAAATAGGAAGTGTCTGTATCGATTGGTCCCAACTGAGCAGACTTTTACTTCAGGACAGAGACAGAGTTCAGTCTCCGAAACGTTGTTTGAAAATTAAAAATTCAGGACGATGGATAATGTCAAAAAATCAATAATTCTATTAGATCTTTTTATTTAAAAAAACAGCTGAATGGAAAACAAGAATGCATTAAGCGGTGAGAAAGTAGAAACAAAGAAGATAACAAGCAAAAGAACTGCGTGTGTAGTAAGTATACAGGTGAGGTATAAAGGGTTTGTACACTTGAATACCATGATATGACGCCCGAAAGCCGGAATAGTGAAATCAGAGGACACATCTGTTGCTAGGCAACTGCACGATAAATATATTCCCGCAGCAACGAATACGCAAGTAACAATCGAAGAACTTCCTTTGCTGTGCAACGGCGATGTAAACACAGCTTAACAATAGAGAGGCTGTGTTTTCTGAGTGGTCCATGCAAAGTGACTGTAAAGAAGAGATCAAATGAGAAGAGTTAGTTGAGACGCCAGCTTGCCATGATATGAGCTTGGGAGCAGCTGGAGGTAGACTTGAGGGTCGCCAGTCGAAGGTGATTGAGAAAAAATGGCATGAAGGGAATTAGGCTGTGAAAAGAAGACTTCACATGTGATTTGAAATGACATTGAGATGAAATGTATTGCCAGGACACGGCCAGTGAAGACGGAGAACCCTAGTTCGTGTGTAACGGTGAACCTTAAAGTGTGTAGATCAGCGATAGCGCTGTACGAGTAATTGACTACAGTTCCGAGTGGTGCATATAAGGTGTCAATAAATCCAATCCAAAACCCGTTTATAAGCCGGCGCGTAAGACTAACAACCCTACCGCCATCTGTGAGCCGATTGTCTAAAAAGAACGTGGCAACCTCGGCGTCTCACAACCATATGGGCCTCCACGGCCTGTTACAGGGATAACTTTACCTTTTTTGTGGATAGGTTATTTTACGCGACGTCTAAAGATTGGTAAATCTTCAAATTAAGAAAATCAAGTTAAGTTTAAGGTCTTTCATTCTGGTCCGTCACACTAACCAATTAACAATCAAGTTCCTTCCGTCAAATGTGACACTTTTTTAAGTTTTCCACCTCGTCAGCACCTGCCTTACATGTTTCGGCTCACCACGGAGCCATCATCAGAGGCATTTATAGTAGAAAAAGAAATCACCAACACACAAAACTTCACTTTGTCCAAGATAGCCACGTTCCAGTTAATTAAAATAATTACAAAT